TTGATATTAGTTATATTCCATCAACTGTCTTCTTTTTCAATGGGCAACACATAAAAGTGGATTATGGGTAAGTTGATTTGCATGTAGCCTAAATGTGATCATGTTTGTTGATATTAATTTTATTTTCTGTGACTTAGTATATTTATTATGCAGAGCCATTATATAGTTATTTTTGCTTGAATTACTCTGATTTAATTAGGTCACAGAATATGCCAAGGCAAAATCAGACAAGAATGCAGGAAGCCCGGAAGTATTTTCTGTCACACTTTTTGCCTATTAATTTGGATAGGTAGGATTTGTATGCAGAATATGTAAGCAGTGAGTTGAATGTCAGAGAAATAGGTTGGCATGACTTATACACAAGGCTTATGGGGATGGCAAGTTGGTGAAATAGTTAAATGAAGTGCATTAAGAGTTGCCCTGTGTCATATAGTGATTGTGACAACTTCTATTTAGTTAGAAATATACAGTTCAATCAGAGGAGTCTAAACAACTGCATGCAGTTGTATTCAGCAAACTATGGCATGAGGCAGTGCATTAATTCAATCACTGACAGATTGTTTATTATGATAAATGGTATCAATTCACAAAAGTGTTAAGAAATTAATGTTGAAAACTATGGATCATAGATTCCCAAGCTGGATTTCTGAAAATGAAATCCTATTACAAATGATAAAAACATATTACCAGGCATATTGAATCTGTATGTAAATAGTTCTATCATAAAATACGGTTACAGTTAATTTTATATTGTGAAGCACATCTTGTAAATCAGCTTTCTGTCAGAAATAGGTAATCCTCTGTCACTGATTGCTAGCCATAATGTCTAAATAGAAACTCCTGTCATAGGTCCTGGAACTATAAGTTTCATTACCCATTTATGAAGATTCTTGAGAGATACACGAGACTGGACGAACTTTTAATTTGATCTTGCAAGGTTATATAAAACAGTAACAAATATATTTTGTAAAAGTAAGGGGCTTGGTAGATTCAGATTTTGAACTACCGTACTTGTATTTTTGAATTTCAACTATAACATTGTTGTTTAAAATTGGCTTCATATTTCTTTTCCTAAATAGATCTCCAGATCATACCAAATTTGTGGGAAGTTTCAAAACAAAACAAGACTTCATAGATTTGATTGAAGTGATCTATCGTGGAGCGATGCGTGGAAAACTCATTGTACGAAGCCCAATTGATCCAAAGAATATTCCGAAGTATGAACTTCTCTACAAAGACATTTAAATGTCCTTTCTAGAAATAAATGAAAGTTGGAATGGGCACATCCTAAGACTGATTATGCCATGGCCTATTTGAACACGTGTCCCAACTAAGCCAGCAAAAAGAAGTAATCTTAATCTTTGCATGATCATATTGGTCAATATTAAAACAGACAGATTTTCTGTCATTATTTTCCTTAAAGTTATGTATGTCATCAAGTTGCTGAATTGCTATTGTTATTAGCTTATAGCCTACATTTTTCTCTTAAATTTTTAAATAAAGGAACCTGATCTAAAGCAAACAAATGCCTTGGACTATAAACAAAAATAGAAACTTTTTCACACATGATAGAAAGACAAAACCAAATAAATCATGTGATAGCTTAACAGTTACAATTAAATCACAACTTAGCATATGTGAACCCAGCCATAGAAATCAGTCTAAGTTTGTTTTGCCTTTTCCTTTTGACCTAGAGATAGTGAAAAAAATTGTAAATATTTTTGCCTTTGTCCTGCTTATCCTGATAGGTTTTAGCTCTAAAACTATTTTATCAACCAGAATTTGGAGTCCACATGAGATATGTGGTACTAAAATCTTTGACTTTTAAAGATGGAATCATGCCTTATATACAGCTGTCAGTAGATAGCCTGCCTTCTGTCCACCCTCAAACTTACTACCTGAGTTCTTTGGGGGAGCTGTTTAATGTCTGTTTTCATGGTTTCAAACAGACTGATTATAGAATGGTTGAGGGAGGAATAGCAGAATTGTTCTGTAAAGTAGGAGCAATTATTCTAGTTGTGGGGAATAGAACTGCTGACAAATAGGGAACAATTCTAACTGGATAATTTAATCTTCTCTGTAGATGCAGGTCATTTTAGAGCAAAAATAGCATTATTTATGATTTGATTATTGTGGATAAAATTGAGACCTGGCTATGAGAAAAGGTGAACTCTGTCTTCTGTTTCTATTGTGAAGTGGATTCCGGAATGTTGGGAGAGCAGATTATAGCTATGGTTCCTAAAAATAGATAGGTATTTTTTACCAGGATGCCTGGAGAGAACAGATTTTTATCCTTCTTTTCTTTTCTTCAGAACTCCAGGATAAGGTGAGAATTTTATGTGTATGGTCCTTTCGCTAATAGATTTCATAAAATAGTATGACTGATTATGGAGTTGCTAGTTTATCTATTTGTGCAAATCTATTTTAAAACATCAATAAGAAAAAATGCATAGATTTCTATACAGAGACATACATACAGTATATAGATGCATATATAGCTCTAGAATCAATCCCCCAAAGCTGCCTGAAAAGCCATGTTCTTACTAGCTTCCAAGGTTGCTACAAGGAGGGACATATTCAGCTTGGGACAAACTATTCCATAAGAGCAAAATACCTGATATTAGGCCACCTTTCTGCCACAATGACTGATAGGTCAGGATCCTTTGTAGATACTGCTCATCTAGATGAGACAGTATATTTGGGAAAGACAAGTCTCTTAAATATTCAGGCCATATAGGGCTTTAAAGCTGGTGACCAGCTCACTTGGAAATGGACTCCAACCAATTCAACTCTGCAGTATCAAGATTGACCATTGAGCACATTGGTTTATTTATTTATTTGTATCCTGCCTTGGCTGCAAACACGTCCAACACACCCTCCTATGTTCCCTACAACAACCCTGTGAAGTGAGTAGGACTGTGAAAGTGACTGATCCAAAAGTCAGCCAACTGGCTTTTAAGGTAAGGTGGGACTTGAACTGTGGCCCGCTTTCTATCCAGATGCCTTAACCATTAGACCAGACTGGATTGCTGCAATTTGGACCACCTGAAACTTTTGGGGAGTGTTCAAGGGCAGCCCCATATTAATCTAATCAGAAGACAAAGACATATGTGATTGTCCTCAGAATATTATATTCTAAATAAGGTTGCAAAATCCATCCAGTCAGAGCTGAAGAAGCTTTTTGGATGAGATGCGAAACGTCTTCAAAAAAAACCCAAGAAAGTCCAGTTGCCTCTTGAAAAAACAATTTTGAGTTGCAACTGGTTTATCAGACAAAAGCCCTCCTGACCATGCTGTGTGTGGGAGCTGATTATTCAGAAAGACTCGAGGTTTCAAATTTGCATTATGGGCAGCATAGCCAGTAAAGAGTCAAAAGATGATACAATCCTGGAATCAGAAAACTTATGATTTAACAGCCATTCTGTAATATAGAGTGAAGTTTGAGTGTGTTTTTCGTTGACAGCCTTCAGGCACCAACATGGGAAATTTACAGTATCTCCCATTGGGCCTGTGGCAAAGCTGTATAACTGGATATCATTGTATTGGTGAAACTATCCTGAACCAACAGGTTATCTTTCCAAGAGATTTCATATAGATGCAAATCTTGGTGGCAAATCCCAGAATACATTTCTGATGCTATTTGGTGCGTTCCTGGAATTCATAGCTGCCAAAACCAATATAACTCTATCCTATTTATTCCATTGCTGAGTCACATTGCTGTTTTCATGCTGGATCTGGTCTTTTGCTCAAAACACAAGGGTGATGGCCGTTAGAGTTTTACCATTTTACCGTTGCTTATGAAGGTGATTTTGTCAATTGCCCTTGGAATAGGGAACTCTTTAGAGTGAGAGATAGGATCACTCCTAAATAACCTCTAGTTCTCTTCAAAATTAGCTTATAGTATACAGACAAGGTAAATAACTAGAACACAGAAGAGGATTAATCATAAATTACTAAGGCATAGCAAACTAGTACTATACTATATGTACAACAAATAAGCAATTTTATTCTGGGCATAAGGCACAACCTGCTTCTATCCAGCAAAATTTTCCCAGATAGTTAAAGCTGTTTCAAATTTGCTGTAAGAAGCTATGACTTACTTTGATATTTTAATGGATTTTTGCAGAAAGCCTTTGCAGCTGAGAAAATTTAAATTTCAGTATTTTTGCAGAGTCAATTACAGTAATGTGTTGTCCAGTAATTTATAAGATTAATATTGGATAAATTTGTGCTTTTGGAGGATATGGCCAAGCTGCTTTGAATGGTACAATTCACTGCCTATTTGGATTCTTGCCCAATGTGGCTGAATTCACTGTGGCCTAGCTAATACTTCATTGAGAAAGGACAGAATGTTTAGACATTAATAAATCTACCATATATCTCTTAAATTGTAGGTTAGTCTCCTGTATTTGGGAAAAGTTATAAAGAGGTTGTGGCTAACCAGCTTCAAGAAAGATTATCTATACATATTTCAAACTAATTTGAAGATAGCCTTAGTCTAATAGATGATTTATCAATCCTTTCTGTAAGACTATCAGACTGTGTTAGTTCTAAAGTTTGGTGCCAGGCATTACAGATGGGTTGATGATGCTCAAATCTTTTTCTCTATTTCAGTCACAAGAAGGGGCAATATTTTTTAAAATGTATGTCCACAGGGGCTGGATGCAGGATAATAAAATGAAATTAAAATCAGACAAAGTGGAAATCTTTATTTTGAAGGATCATGATCTAGAGCAGTGACCCCCAACCTTTTGGGCACTAGGGACTGGTTCTGTGAAGAGAGGTTTTTCCATGGACCGGAGGGGGCATGATTTCCTGTGCTGCCTGCATCCCATGGATGGGGCTTTGCTTGTTTGCATGAACCAGTTTTTGCCATGCGGTCCACGGACAGGGGGTTGGGGATCCCTGATCTAGAGGACAGGGCTGTATTTTTTTTATTTAAAAGTTTTATAAATTTATTACAATATAACCCCCCCCCACCCCTTCCCCCCTCCCCCACTTCCCAGAGCTGACTACAGGGTAAAAAATAAAATAAACAAACATAATCTAACTAACATAAACCAACTATACTATCAATCAAAACCATAACACACTTTTAACTCCAGGACAGGGCTGTATTGTCCAGAAAAAAAAAATAGCACAGTTTGAGAACCCTCCTAGATCCTGGTCACATCCTGTTTCCTCAGGTTAAAGCTTTGACCAATAGTGCTTTTCACTAACCAAAAAAAGCAGCTCTATCTGTTCCTTGAAAATAAAATCACACTGTAGCATATCTGGTAACTTTCAGACTACACTGCTTCAATGTATTCTATATTGGACTGCTTTATAGTAGCTCAGAAACTTCTGCATGTTCAAAATGCAGCAGAAGATTGTTCAAAGACTATTTGGAGGTAGCATTTATGTCTGTTCCTCTGGGAATTGGCTGCACTGTCTGCCAGTTTCTAGAGGACATATAACATGCTGATTATCACCAGTAACCCTAAATCATCTAGGCTCAAGTTGTCTGAGTGTATGTATGATTCTTGCTTCTAAGATTGTCAGTTCATTTTTCAATATACCAATCACCTGGTGATGAATTGGGATTCTGTCATCTTTAAGTTGTAGAATGCATTTTCTGTAGATATTCAGTCTACATTTTTTACAGTCCTGTAAAAACACTATAATGTCCCATCTTTTCAACCTGGTTTTTCATACTTTTTTGAAAGTTGAAATTTTTATATGAGATTTATGTTTATTTTAATATGTTACTTTGTTTTGATGTTGGCTCATGACTGAAATTGTAATTTAAATTCAATCTGAACCATTTAAAAAGTACACTATTCAAGTAAAATGGAACTGAAAATGTAGATAATAATCGAGAGAAAACGGATTTTTTAAAAGTAATTTTTAAAAAAAGTCTTAATATTAACAGTAGATAAGATCAATCTAATTTGATGTGGTACTATCAGATAAATACAATTTTAAACAGTAATTTTTGTGAAATGTTGAACATTTCTCTGCTGATTTGAATAGATATACTATAAATGTGAGGTTTAAAACATTCAAAATTATGCTAATCTGAAGTACAGGTAATTGACTAATATTTTAAACAAGATTTTAAACCTATTTCTGATATATGTTTATCTTATTTACATTTTCATGGTTTTACTGATAGTTCGGATTAAATGAGTTTTTAAAAAGCTTTATCAAAGAATTTATTTGTAAGACATTGAAAGAAAAAACTGTCACTAAATTACAAATTTGTACAAAGTATCCTTTCAAAAACTAAAATAAAGCCTAACCATCGAATTCAAACTTGCACCTTACATAACATAATGATAACAGCTTCAGCCAAAAGTGAAGAAATAATCTATTATATAAAATAGTTTACCTCAAGAGTGTGCCTAGGCATTTGCATTAAGTACATTTTTTTTCTGACAGAAGAAACTATGAGAAACATATTAATTTTTTTTCATGGCATTTTTGCTCCTTGTTGCAATAGGTGATCGACTGAAATTGTCTTTAATACTAGCTTTCAGTGCACTCTTTAGATATTTGAAGATGGACTGCAGGCTAGAGGATGGAGCCATACTGTACTTTTCAGATCCGGTGGAGACTATAGGACAATCCATTTTCACAAGGTAGCCTACTGACCTATCTATAGGCTTACTATTTGATACCCACTCTTGACAGTGCTTACATATCCATGTTTCTACCTCAAAATTGCCTTGTGTCTGATGTTTCATGTGTGGTGGTCTCCCATGGAGAATGAGACATGCACGCAGGTATCTCGGGATGGGAGCCCAGAGCTGACTCCAACACCCTCTTTTATTGTTACTATAGTTTTTACATCACACAGCGTAAGCAAAAGATGTATATAGGGGTGGTTACAATGTATCAAATAACAGACACTCTCCATATGCAAGGCTATGCAGGTGTTCTTATCAGACTCTGTCCAAATGGTTGATGAATGTATCCTGTGTCTGGAGCAGTCCGTTTGTTATCTCAAGGACCTTGTGGGAGCATGCCCATGGACATATTTGTGCAATTAATCCCACATCTCCTCGTTTTGTGTTTTTTTAATGTTACTCACTTCCAGTTCCAGAAGGGATCTTGATTCACTGATTAAGGCGTCCTTCCTAGTGGAGGGCGTAACATTTTTGCACATTTGCAGGAGGGAGGGAATACATTCAATGCAACAACATAGCAATACAATTAATATCAAAATGGTTACTATAATAGAAATCAAAGATCGTAGCCAGGATCCATCTGGTAGCCAGGACCAAAGGGCACCCCAAATATCCACGGTGCCTGATCCATCACTGCGTAAGGGATTATTTTGGAGCATAATTTCCATTTTCCTGGCTGTAGCAGAAATATTAGGTTGAAAATCATGTATATACATACAACAATGAGAATGAATTAAGGCACATACACCGCCTTTTGCTGCTAAAATAATATCTAAAGCATACCGATTTTGCAAAACTACTTCCCTTATTTCCCCCATTTCTTGATTAATCATTTTAATACTGTTGATTGTTTCATTAAACATATGAACAGTCCAATTGTTAAGCAAATGAAGGTCCCTATAGTTCATGGCAACTCCTAGATTGGGTAATATTCCTCTGGTGATTTGAGTCTCTAAACTACCACCCAATGTTAGGGGTGGATCCGAGGAACCAGTATCATGTTTGTTCCGCAGGCGTCCATCAGGGAGATGAGGCAAGGCATATACAGCAGGGGTCAAAAGGCCCAGTGTACAGGTGCCTTTCCAATCCTTAGGCACCTGGCGATAGGCTCTACGGCCACATAGTAGCCACATATCGGGTAACTCATAATAACCCTGGTGAGACTCATTAGCAAATGTTATTATGGATTCCATGTCAAGGCAAGCCATGTAGGTACTGATGTTTGTCCATTGATTGCTTCGATAAGTGTCATTTATCTTAGTAAGGTTGCTTTTGATGGATTTGCATTTCTTTGCTGAATTCCATATAATAACTTGTTGACAATTACTATAAGTTCCCAAATAAATGGCAGTACGGAATAGTCCTGTGCTATAAAAACAAAATCTGGCAGGTTCCATTATACGAGCGCCAACAGCATATGTCATATTCAATGTCTCTGTAATTATGTCCCACAGCTGCTTCCATCCTGTTTCATTGAACGGGATGGCATGGAAAATAAGGCCACCACGACTGTCACCAGGAATTTGCATGCAAATCCAACAGTTCGTGACATTAAGTGTAAGAGCAGTGCGCCTGGCATCCCGTACAAAAGCATTAAAAGCCCACAGTCCCTGATCCTCATATGCCTGGCTGAGGTGGTGTACGTTGAGCCATATAAGGACGAACACAACGAGCTGGAGTCCAAATGATCTCGCGATGGTCGTCTATTGCAGCATAGCCTCGACCCCAGGTAATGAGGGAGGCAGGCCCTTTCCAGGTGGGATCAGGCAAACGTCGATAGTATACCTGGGGGCGTGAAGAATCTGTGGGAGAAGCAGAAAAATGCCTGCTTGCGGCAGTTGAGCCAGGGGTGCCAGAAACATTCAAAAAGTTTAAGGTAAAAAGTACAAGATTAAGAGTGTTTTGTATCCCAGGCAAGCCGGGGGTATTTTCCCCTTTCTTTTTTGCATGCATGTCTAGAGCCCTTTTTATGGTCTGATTGGCTCGTTCCACGATCGCTTGACCAGTGGAGTTATATGGAATGCCAAATTTATGAACAATAGACCAGCGAGAGCAAAACTGCGCAAAGGAGGTGCTGGTATAAGCAGGAGCGTTGTCAGTTTTAATTTCTTTTGGATTGCCCAGGGTAGAAAAGGTACGAATACAATGATTAATAACATGTTTAGCAGATTCACCCCTTTGAGGGGTGGCCATACTAAAACCTGAATAGCTGTCAATGGAAACATGCAAATATTTCCAGGGGGCAAATGGCAAATATTGCGTAACACCCATTTGCCAAAGTTGACAGCTCTGCGTCCCTCTTGGGTTGACCCCTTGAGGAACAGAGTGTGCTTGGAGGCTGCAGGTGGGACATTGTTGTATGATAGCCGCAGCCTCCGTAGCTGTTAAAGAAAATTGTTTCATTAAAGCCTTCTTATTTTGATGAAAATATGAATGGCTGTCCCATGGGGTTATGGGAGATAAAACAAGGACAGAAACGTCCTGGTGAGTGGAGGCGGCCGAAGCGGCAGCATCCGCCTTGGCATTGCCTTCGGAGATAATACCAGGGAAAGGTTGGTGACTTCTAATATGAGCAGGAAAAAAACAAGTAGAGCGGGAATGAAGAAGGGATTGGAGTGTGAGAAATAGACTGAGGAGAGAGTCATCCAGTGAGGGTGACACATATGAATCAGATAAAGAAGTGAGAACTTTATATACATAAAGACTATCTAAAATAAGATTAAAAGGTTCAGAAGAAAAAGTTTGTAAGGCCAGAATTGTAGTGGCAAGTTCAGCACGCTGAGCAGAAGTTTGAGGAGGAGTAATTTTTGTGTGCCATTGTTCACCCTCCTTCCATACACATGAACCATAAGTTTTGCTGCCATCAACATACAGGGTGACAGCGTTAGGAATGGGAGAGGAGGAAATGGGAGAATGCAGAGAAATTGAAACATTATTAAAGAGTTGGAAGCGAGGGTCAGAGGGAATATGACAGGAAACAGATCCTACCCAGTCAACAAGAGAAAGTTGCAATACATCTGAAGAGTACAATTGAAGCAAGTGCCTTGGGGTTGATTCCCCTTTTGGATTGCAGCTGCAAGAGTGTCCATTTGAAAAGCATTGGTTCCCACAATGCGGCAGGCTTTAAGAAAGTCTGCTAGGGTGGCCGTGAGACTGGAAACAAGTGGTTTAAGAATGGACTGGCAGTCTGCATTTGCATGTTCATAAGCCAATTTTATGAGGATTTCATTTGCTGCATCTCTGTTTGAAATTTGACGCTCAATGGCAACTTGCAGGCGATTCACAAAGTCTGCATAGGATTCAGTTGCAGTTTGGCGAATGGCAGAAAAAGATTGAATCGGGGTGCCAGACTCATCAACACGAGCCATGGCAGAAAGAACACAAGTATTAATGATTGGAAATGCAAAGGGAGTAAAAGTTTGAGCCTGAGCATTAAGGGTAGCAAAATTGCCTTCTCCGAAGAGTTGTTCTGCTGTCCATTGTGAACCTGGGTGATTAGCTCTGTTTTGTGCCTCTCTTTTATATTCAGATTCAAAAACTACGTATTGCGTTCCGTTAAGAAGCATGCGGAACAGATCTTTCCAATCTTGAGGCAACATTCGATATGCACTAGCAACTGAGTGTATCAGTCCTCTAGTATAGGGACTGGTTATGCCATAATCTTTTGTAGCCTTTTTCAATTCTCGGATCATAGCCAAGGGAAGTGCTTCCCAATCAACCACTATGCCTGCTGCAGTCTGTTGGTAAGTAACAGGGAACAACTCTGTCTCGGATAGTTCAGAAACGCTTAAATCACCATTGTTTAAAGCCTTTTGAAAAGCACCACGGATGATTCCGGGCCAGGAGACAGGCGGCAACGTGGCAGGAACAGGAGACGCTGTTTGTTGTTTATCAGGATCCATAAAATTTGCAGGGGCAGAAGGAGGTTAAAACCAGCTCCAGGGGGCAAGGGAGTGGCCAACATAACAGACGGACTTTTATACGGTAGAGGGTCTAATAAAGGCTGATGAGGCGAGTCAGCATGAGTTTGAATCAGGGTATAGGCAATTTTCCAAAGGCACAAAATCTCTGGGGGGGCTCTCGGAGACTGATGGAGGACGGCGCCGATTTTCCTCCATGTATCTACTTTTAAAGATCCAGACTCCAGATAGGATGAGCAGTTAGCCCATACGTAAGCAAGCAATTTAACAGCCTCAGATTTAGAAAGGTGACGGGTTAATTTCTGTTCCTGATCAGTAAGATATTTTTTCCTGCCAAGTAGCCTCAGCTCTTCCACATGCTGCTTTTGAGTGTGAGACATTCCACCCCCCATACTTACGAAGAGGAGTCAGTTGCCAGCAACTTCGTCGGGTGCACCAAGCCTATTCCAGGCGATAAGTAAGGGTCGGCAGGGACGCATCCATCAGTGGATCACGTCGGGGTCACCAGATGTGGTGGTCTCCCATGGAGAATGAGACACGCACGCAGGTATCTCGGGATGGGAGCCCAGAGCTGACTCCAACACCCTCTTTTATTGTTACTATAGTTTTTACATCACACAGCGTAAGCAAAAGATGTATATAGGGGTGGTTACAATGTATCAAATAACAGACACTCTCCATATGCAAGGCTATGCAGGTGTTCTTATCAGACTCTGTCCAAATGGTTGATGAATGTATCCTGTGTCTGGAGCAGTCCGTTTGTTATCTCAAGGACCTTGTGGGAGCATGCCCATGGACATATTTGTGCAATTAATCCCACATTCATGTGATGCTTAGAGTCAATAAGTGCAACAGCATACACTTTGTTCATCACTTCCAAAGTTCTTTGCATGAGTAAGTTGATAAAAATCAATCCCCCATAGCCGTGGGCAATGAAGGCTACATTTCTAGATGCAGTCTTTGAAATGAAGTGATCCCAAACATAGGTCGTATGTTCTTCGGGGTTACTGCTGTTTCTCTTTGGGACTGCCCATGATAAATTTAAAGGACAAATAGCCTCATTCTCCAAAAGACTTAAACATTCTGGTTCTATTTTCAGATCTACAAAATTCTCATTAGGATTTAAAACAATCACTCCCCAAGAGTACTGTAGAGCCATTGTAATGAAAAGTATCTGAGATCCATGTTGAAGGCCTTCATGTATTATTGTCCTCTGTGCCCACTGGCCTGCACGAAATGTCCCCTGATCTTGAAGAAGTACAAGTAAAGTTGAACTATTTTTCAATGCATTCTCACTCATGAAAAAGAAACTACAAATTTTACTGTCTGCTACATATGTTGGGATGTAAATCTTCTGCAGACTGCAGGTTTTTTCAAGGAGCTCATAAACATACTGAGTTATTAACTGTCCAAGAATTTGGTAACGTTTGTGATTATCTTTATATGAATTCTGATAATTAAAAACAAAAGGTTCATTAGTATCTACATGCTTAAGCTCACCATTTTTGTTAAAGTCATATTTAAGTTTTTCTGGGCACTCTGAATTATTTATTATTTTCCTGAAGATCACATCTTCAATCATTTGTAACCACTATAAAGAAATTGTATTAAAACATATTTCACTTAAAAGTTTTCAAGTTTCTCTAACAATTTTATAAAAAAAAACATGTACCTTTATTAAAAATGTAGAGATGGTATACACAATATTGCTTTTCATATATTGTCATAAAACAGTAAAAATTATATTTGAACTACAAGCTCTAGGAATATGATTTTGAAATGTGAAAAGTGATACATCAATCATATTGACCCAAGGGGAAGAGTTAAACAAGCAATTATCTCTCATCTATTGAAATCACCATGACTCAAAATTACATATACTACCTTTGGTTAGAACATGTCCTTTATTTTTGCCCTACTTCAAGAAACTCAAAGCAGAACTACTTTCAGTTGGCTAGATCTAAATGCATTAGGTTTCAGATGTAACATCAGATATTATTAGTGTTATCCATTGAAGATGATACCTTTCTGGGTAATAAAATGCCTGTAGGCAAATAATCAAGCTCAGAGAGTATAATAAAATAACCTCTTAACACTAAATTAAAACAAAAACATCACATAAATAATAAACAATAAAAAACTAAAATTATATAACAAAATAACCACTTATTTTAAGTTTAAATATAAACCTTAAAAATATACAATATAAAATATCTCATAATAATAGAAACACCCAATCTTTCTATAGTCATAACAAATCTAATCATCAAATCCTAAAACTTTGTTATCTTTCTTAAGCAAGAAGTTATTGCTTTTGATATTAATTCAGTATTTTTAATTGTTTGGACAAACTATTATAGCATCACTTGCATATGATAGGCTGTAACAATTATCCCACTATGCCCAAATACATTAAACTATATTATGAATTAAATGTATGTTAATATAGATGGGAGATATTTTTCAGGAATATAATTTGTCATATTATTAATTTTTATTGGCCCCTCACATGCTCTCTACTCATCACTTTATTAATATTTCACTAGAGTTTAATTAACTACATGCAAAAGTGGCTCAGGAAACATAGACCATATATGCCGAACTATAATGTAAAAAGATATGTTGCACCAGCTAGCAATATTCTTCAGAGTATCTAAATAGCTGTTATTATTTAAGCTTAGAAAATACATTGTAGAAAATACATAATATATTCTAGTTACTATTATATTCTAAGACGATTTGCATAAACTTGAATTTATGTGCAAACCATACTCACACTCATCTTGCTTGAATAATGCCAAAGACTTCTGGATACTTCTGTCTATTATTTCAGGAATCTCTCTAAAGCCAGAGTGATAAGTTGTAGAACTCTATTGTTTTCCAATACTACTTAGACTGCAGTGACAGAAGCTATTATAGTTTTTTACACTGGTATTCCTTTTTAAAATCAAAGCACATTTTTAACGATCTGTGTAACATGTTTACACTTAAAAACAGTGTTATACTGAAGTAGACTTAAAATTATTGTATTGAGACAATTATTTTTATCTGCCTCATGTTTAAAATATAGTAATCATGATATAATTTTTAAACCACTCCTTAATTAACTAAACTATTGCATTTGTCAGCTTTGTTGAAATATAAAAATGTACTTTAATAATCCATAAAAATGGAAACTCTTGCCTACATTTATCTACTATTTTAATGTATTTTATGTAGAACATTTCAAGGGTACTTCTGAATTAAGGGCTATAAATCTGTATGTATCTAAAATGTGTATTTAAACACATCTATCTGGAAAAGGCATAGATATTATTTCAAGAATGCATGTGCACAATTTAGAATTTATAGTTGCTAAGAAAATTATACCTTCCAGGGCAGTGAAGAGAGGCAATGGAAAAAAAAAAAAATCTAGAGCCAGCCATAAGAGACTGCACAACTAGCTGAAAAGTGCAACCAAATCACTTCAGTAATAATCGTTAATTATTAAATCTGGAAAAATAACTTAAAATTGGGATTTAAAAAGTTTAAGAAAAGTTGAGTGCTTTCATGGGTTATTTTATTTTATAATTGCTTTGGCTCACAAAGGGAAGAATACAAGCCCAAAAATGTCATCTTCCATTTACAAGTTTTCCATTTCTGATTTATTTCTTATACTTTTTCCTTTCCCCTAAACATGTTAGCAATGATAGATTAGCTAAACAATAATTTCCCAGTAGTGTTTTACAGTGACACTTAACTGTTGTTACAGAGAAATAATGCCTATTTATTACAACTGCCCCAATACAGCAATAATTGAATAAAGCTCTAGTGAGACTAAAGCCCATTTATCAGTAATATCAAAGCTTATTCATCTAGAACAGCAGTTCTCAACCTGTGGGTCGCGACCCTTTTGGGGGGTCACATGAGCCTTTCACAGGGGTCGCCTAAGACCATTGGAAAACACATATTTCCGATGGTCTTAGGCAGGGCTTGTCAACCGCCTTCTCTCCCTCCCCCCCTCCGCTCCACCTCACTTGTTTGTGGAAAATATGCTGCTTGGCGGCAGTCTGCATGAATTCTACCAAATGTGCCCTGCAGGGGGCACATGAAGAGCGCAGGCGCAGAGCAAGGCCCCTCCCCTCCCCAGAGACTCATTGTGCAGCAACCAGATTGACTTCTTCTCGTGCACACAGGTCAGCGAAGGGGAGGCCGCCGCAGCACCCAACTCCTGTGCCTGTCAGCTGGCGACCCCCGAACTTGCGCTTGTCAGCAGGGAGGTCTGGCGACGGCCGCCGATCTCCTTTGCCACCCAGCCCATCCTCAACTCCTCCTCCGCCCGTTCATGTCGAGCCCATCGGGGCTTGACAGGGAGAGACGGGGGAAGGAGGAAGGGACTCCTCCTCCCCCCCTAAGCTTCAAAGCACGATCGGCTTCCCAAGGGCGCCACAATCCTCACAAAAGCGGGGGAGGGGGGAGAAGCAAAGGAGGCGAGAAAGCTCACGGCAGGCTCAAAGGAGCACCTGTCAGCGTTGGTGACGAGAAATTCCCCACAAACCCAGGGAAGGGGTGGAGAAAAGAAGCCCATCTTCTTCTCCTTGGCTTTGCGCTCTTCTGTTCCTCGGCAGCCGGGCTGCCAAGCCTCTGCTAGCTGGAACCAGAGAAGGAAGTGAAGGAAAGGAAGGAAAGAAGGGAGGGACAATGGGAAAGAGGGAGGGAAGGAGGAAGAGACTAAGGGAGATGAAGGAAAGGAAGGAAAGAAGGAAGGAAGGGACAATGGGAGAGAGGGAGGGAAGGAGGAAGAGACTAAGAAGGAGAAGGAAAGGAAGGAAGGGACAATGGGAAAGAGAGGGAAGAAGGAAGAGACTAAGGGAGGTGAAGGAAACAAAGGAAAGGAAGGAAAGGACAATGGGAGAGAGGGAGGGAAGGAGGAAAAGACTAAGAAGGAGGTGAAGGAAAGGAAGGAAAGAAGGAAGGGACAATGGGAAAGAGGGAGGGAAGGAGGAAGAGACTAAGAGGGAGGTGAAGGAAAGGAAGGAAGGGACAAGGGGAATGAAGGGAGGGAAGAAAGGCAGACACCCACCCAGTCCCATCCCAGAGACCCACAGATTCCTCCCCACAGGCACTCTGCAACCTGAGTGATCAACTGGCCACGCCCCCTGGCCATTGATCACGTGACCCTTGGACACTGAACGTCATAAGTATGAATCAGTTGTCAAGCATCCGAATGTAAATCACATGACCCTGGGGATGCTGTAACAATCATAAGTGTGAAAAATGATCATAATTCGCTTTTTCAGTGCTGTTGTAACTTCAAACAGTCACTAAGCGAATTGTTGTAAGTCGAGGACTACCTATACTTTCCCATTTTTTTCCTTTTTTGGGGGGGTCAAGTTTTTGATACCCCCCGGCCAGATGGATGGGGGGTTGGGGGTCACCACAACATGAGGAACTGTATTAAAGGGTCGCGGCATTAGAAAGGTTGAGAACAACTGATCTAGAAGCATCAGAATTAGAGATTTGAACTAAGAGCAGATGTTCTGGATTCATTTCTGGTAAAAGCTAGATGGTTACTTTTTATGGAATTGCTGTATTGATTACCTTGATTTGCATTTTTACCAACTCATATTTACAAGAGCAATCTATAAGACAGTGGTTGCTTTTTCTGAAGAAAATCAATACGAATAAAGCACAATTTCTTATGGTTAGGTAAATGGGATACTGGGTTGAAGGTAATAATATTCTCAAAAGAGAACAATAGCTAATTCTTAGACTCAACTATTTTCAAAGCTTAACTCAGTCTTTTGGACCACGATTCTATACACAACTGTCTCTGTAAAGTCTAGTGCAATAAATATAATTTACTCTTAAAATTGACAAGACTTTTATGACCCATTTACAGAATACCTCTACTCCAAATGCAGGTCATACAAAGTCGCTTGGTTTTTAGACCGGTATTGCGGATGAGTTTATTTTCCAATTCACAGCTCACGTGGGTTTTTAAGTTATCCCCCCCCCAACTTTCTCTTTAACGGATTAACCCCATCTTTCAATTCTCCTTAATTGGAAATAGTTTTAAAATAAGCTAGGACAGAATTCCGGCTTTGGCGAATTGCAAAGTGACGCTTCCTTGAGAGGACTTACACAACGTCCTTGGATGGCAGAGAACGAGCGCGTAATCGAAGCGCTCTGAAACGCAAAACATCTGTGCAGCAACCCTGCCGGCAGATGCGCCAGGACCCAAAACTGGACCAGCCACGGCTGGCTTTCAATCCCTCGGTATGGTTTTCACACTAACATTGCTCCAAAAAGGCGGTGCCTCTACCGGAAGTGGGCGCGAAATGCTACGCGAGGCAGCGCAACAATCTGCCGGTGGCGATCCGAATCAACAAAGGCGAGAGTAGTTGGAGGGATAGTGTGGCTTCATCGGATCAGGTGAGAGGAAAAAGAAACATCGACAGGCTGATCGATCGTAATTACAGCTGTTTCAGGGTTAGTTTTCCCTGGAACAAGAATCGAGGGCCTTCCTTTGGGAGGAATGGTAGGTTCTGCGGGGAAGCCTTGGAGGAAGCTCTGCAGAGGGCTTTAAAGCATTTGGCAGGGCAATATGGTACGCCCCTTAAATGGCGAGGTGGGCAGGCTAATAGTGTATCTTGCTAGAGAGATGGTAACAACAGTGCAGTTACTGTCGTGTTTTTATGAGCATTAATCCCGTTCTGTTCCTTCCGGATCGGATTTTTGTGCATTTTCTATATTCAGAAAGAAACACTTCCCGAGGACCACGGTGTACGGTTTTATTACATTATAGGTGTATGCTGCCGCCGTTAGTCTCGTACTGTTCGTTTCCTTAGGTGATTCGGCTTTTTTTATAAGGGACTTCATGTAAGTTGGCTGCAGTGAAAGCAGAATCTTTTAATAGGTTCTTTATTGTATCAACACTTGGCGTGAGTTAGACGTGTTTTTGATGCGTGTATATTATTCCCCATCTGGCACTATATAAAAGGGTGGACAAAAATATTGACGTTAAGACAGAGGGGCCATGAAATGCAGGGACTACACTCTTTGGTGGTGCTGTACAAGTTGTACTATGTTAACTAGCAATTGCATATATTTTTAATGCTTGTTGTATATTGCAAATGATCCTTTGTTACATGCTAAATATTCCTTTAGCAATATTTAAGGATTGTAGTTATCTTTCACCAATATTAATCTTGTGTGTCACTTGCTTTTTCTGCCAAACTATTTGTCAATATGAGGCATATTAACTTTTTTCCTCTTTGATTATGCGTGGTCTGACAATGCTACTCTGTAGAATATTTTTCCAGGTGATGCTTCAGTGTTATCAAGGGTTATACAGGTAGTCCTCAACTTACAGCAGTTCAGTTACTGACCATACAACATCACTGAAAAAAGTGACTTATGACTATTTTTCACACTTAGGATCATTGCAGAATCCTTACGGTCATGGGATCAAAATTCAGATGCTTAGCAACTGATTCATATTTATGACAGTTACAGTATCCTGGAATCACCTTTTGTGACAAGCAAAGTCAATGGGTAAATCAGATTAAATTAACAACCATGTTACTAACTTAACAACTGCAGTGATCCACTTATCAACTGTGGCAAGCAAAGTTGTAAAATGGGGCAAAACTCACTTAACAAACATCTCAGCAACATAAATTTTGGGCTCAATCGAGGTTGTAAGTCAAAAACTACCTATATTGTCGAATATAGGAGCCTCATACGATCCCTGTCAAATATTGTCCAGTCTATTTTTGAAAACCTCCAGTAATGAAGCACCCACAACACTAGGAGGCAAGATATTCCACTGATTAATCTTGCTTTCAGAAAATTTCTCCTTCTTTAATAAGCTTCCACCCATTACTTTTTGTCCTGCCCTCTGATACTATGGAGAATAAGTCAATGGTCTTTTCTCTGTGACAACCCCTCAAGTACTGGAAGACAGATATCATGTCCTCCTAATCCTTCTATCCTGTCCCACATCACACAAGTAGCACTTGAGAAGGATTTATTTGTTTATTTCACAACTAACTACGATATAGCATTCCCCCAAACCCCAATGCAATTTCCCACAGTCTGTAGTGACCTCGGTGACTGGACATCTTCCATCAAGGAGAACATGAGTCCATCAATGGAGTCTGACTAATGGAGGCAACAATGAGGTGACTGGCTGGGCACAAAGTAGCAAGGCTCAAGTGTGAAGTGAAGGAAGGCAAATTGACAGCAAGCAAACCAAAAAGAATATCAACGATTTGGCTTCAGTAGTCTGAAGGACAATGAAGCGAAGAACAGGTCTCCCCAAGAAAGTCCTGGTTCAAACACACGTCCCAGATACCAGGTCAAGGCAATGAAGTCTTCCTCAAACTAAATGCATGAACCATGGCCCAGGAACAAAGCACTGAGATGAAGCAAAAGAACAAGGCAAGAAGCTGAAGATGTCACACTGAAAAAACAAATGATTGTCTCTGACAACCACCCAACCCCTCTATCTGCTTAAATCAACCCAACTGGTGCTTCTCATTAGGAGGAGTAAGGCTGCCTCCTCATGAGTAGCCTCACTGAGCTCTGCTGTGCCTCTCAGTGTTCAGCTCCTCTCATCCATGGATTGGGCAGGGGTGGCAACTGTTTCTCATCAGAGTAGACTCATTGCTGTTTTGTCTCATCGGCTGGTCTTCTCACAGATCACTTTTCCAAGCTGACTGGTGGCAGTCATGCATCTCCATCTTCTGCTTGCATGGGTGTCTGCTTGTCCAGTCACTCACTCCACTTCCCAATGTTCCCAGGAATGCCTTTCTTTCAACCACTGAACTCCAAAACCACCTGATGCCCCATATCACCCCTTTCTGATGATCCCCGACCTCGCTCAGTCTCCTCATCGGAGTTGTTATCTGACAGAACCATCACACTTTCTCTTTGATAGGCTAGACATTCCTAGCCTCCAGATCCTTTATCATCTTTATTGCTGTTCTCTG